AAGTCCGTCGGTGGTTTCCCCTTTCGAGAGTTACTTAGAAGCAAGCTGATGACGATTTTGTCTTCCCAGGTATATGTCAGCGCCAGTTTACCATCGAAACGAATTATGAATAAATAGTACAGCTAGCTGGTTTTCACTGGCCGAGCCGAATTCTAGTTCTACTGCACAAAGTATTTTCTCATAATTGACATATAATGCTTTTCTGTATCTTAACTCTTTCTCTTCTTTCACTCTTCTCTCATTCTGTTTGTTCTTTCTCTTTTTTCTTCTTTCGCTCATCCGTCTTGCAAATTAGTTACATAACTGTTTCAGTACATGGTGGGTAGGAGGCTATACTGATGATTCTCGCTTCTAATCACATACACAGTTCAGTCTGTGTTTACAGCTAAGGGATGAAACACACACACTGTATCGTAAAATTTCTTACACGTAACACTTAAGTCCAATCCTTCTATTCTACTACTTCCCATAAAAGTTGTGCAGCCAGTGAATATCTAGTACATCCGCATATTTTGTTCACACTGACATCAAGAACTTACTTCCAGGCCGGCATCGCGTCGCAGCTGTTCGGCATTTAACGCAGAACTTATCAGAGTGTATCGGCATAATTCAACTGCTGCGCTCAGCAAACGACCCCCTCCTTCCGCAAACAGAGCATCATCTTTTGCTTCCAAATCAATCGTTTTTATCAGCTGCCCATAACCAGCATATTTGTACGGGGAGAGTTCTGCAAAATTTATTTTCATAAAAACCTAAAATCACATTCTTGCCTCCTTTTCCTCATTCTTTCCTGCTTTCTGTATTCAATGCGCCTTTGACACTTTGGCATCCAAGGTGCTACAACGGTTTAAAAATTAGCTGAAAACTATTCTCCCTGGAAAACACTTATAATTCATCCCCAGTAGATTTATAATCCCCAGCCGGAAATTAAATATTAACAGTTGGCTCGGTGCCAAAATTTAATTTCTAACTAGCCCAAATTGCAATTGAATCATTCCTGTTCCAGTCCGAGTATTCAATCCGCAAATTTCAAAAAATGAACCTTTCGAATGACGCATATAGACAAGGGATTGTGCCTGTAAACAGAGAATAATGCGCTGCAAATCTGGAAGAGTAGAATGCTGTACATTCGATGAAAGCAGCTCATACGCTGCAGTGATCTGTTCAAACAGTTCTCGTCCTTCCGGGTTTTTATCCGGATGATATTTCTGCGCTAATTTGAAATATGCACGCCGAACAACTGCTTTATCCGTCCACCTAAAAAATTGCTATTCTGATTAAATAAGACCCAAAGCAGTGCTTGTAAGAAGCAGTGATATACTCAAATGCTTTTCACTTGTATATTTAATGAAATGAAACAATATTTAACAATATTTGTATATATATATATATATATATATTTAAAAAAATATTTGTATCATACATTATACATCTCATAAAATAATATTTACTCATACAATAAAAAAAAATTTATCTATATAATGAAGCAATTTAATTCACCCTGCACACACAACATGCAATACAGGTGTTTCCGATTCCTAAAAATGGGAATGGAAAAATGGAAAAATTTTAGGAAAAATTCCTAAATTAGGAAAATCAGGAAATTAGAAAAAATTAGCAAAAATTTCTAAAAATGGAAAATGGGAAAAAATCACATCGAGTCCAGAAACAGTGATGGCAAATTAAAGAGTGCAGGCAAAAAAAAAAACCCCCGGCAAGTGCTTCTATTACGAAAAATTCAATTCAGCTCGCTGATTTTGTTAGGAATCGAAACGAGCACTAGCGTTGTTAATAAGCTGCTACCAGACAATACAGCATTGGTCAAAGCAATTTTTTCAAAATTTTCAGTTGCACTCCTAAAGAATCCGGTTATGAATTGCAGCTAATTCAAGTATTTCGGAGCAAGATTCAATAATTTTGTTTGCAAAAAGATTCACTGTTCTGATAAGTTAAAAGATTTACGTGGCTTCATCACTGGACAGCTGCAGTGTTGCACATGCCTGCTCCAAAGACATTGCTGGAGGTTTCTTGTCGATTTCATCCAACCAAGCTGCTAAGCAGGAACGCAGGAATGTAACCTGAAAACAGGAGTAAGACTGCCAATAAGACGATGATAACAGTCGCACAGAAGTATGATGTTACTTAGATGTAGAAAATGAGAAAATAGCAAAAAAATTTGCTATAATTTTATAATATAACAAAAATTCTTGATGCGCAACGAAAGCACTCAGAAATAGCCCGACTGACAGCAAGCACTTCATAAAAACAATCACTTGTGCTGGCAAGGTTGTCGATGGCTCCCATTTCCAAGAATAATTTAGAAGCAAACTGATGGCTTTCCCCCAACACACAGCAGTACTAATATTTTTGTGCATTTTTTGCATCTATGCAATGCAGAAAAAGCATATTGACGAGGGGCTGTCTGTGTATGTGTATCTGTGTGTCCGTGCGTGCGTCTGTCACGGTTTTTCATCTCGAGACCTACAAAAGCTACAGGGCTGGAACTTTGGGAATTTAATCTAAATGCACGCATGGGCTCCACTCCCCAAAATGGGCGCTCCTTACCTGAGTGGCACCCACGCGTGGGTCCGTGAGAGTTTTTTTGGGGTAAGCTGCTAACTCGGAAACTTGAGAATTTAGAATACTGGAATTTTAAGGGGATGTTCCCCGTCCAGGTAGGTATTAATGAGTTCAAACCCAGCCCTCGGGTGTGCGTGGTACCCATAACGGGCCCGCCAAAATTTTTTTCCGGTAGGTTGCTAACTTCGGGACCTGAAAACTTGGGAACATACACACATACACAGGGAGACAACTCTTCGACAGTATGCGTTCTTGCTTGCATAAATACAAATAAAAATGCATAAAAAATAATTAAAAGTGATATTAGTTCAAATGCTAACCGGATCACGTATTGGCCAGTATGGAAATCGTTCTGTGTTACAAAGAAGCCTTAAATAGTAGACATGACAGAACAGTTCGCCATCCAGTTGTGGATAATCGATGGCCGGAATTGGGCAATACTGATACAGTGCTTTTATGTTGCACGGCAAACGAACCGAAAAATCGCTGATGTGAACGGCTATTCGTTCAATCATATGGCGCCTGGAACAAAAAATCAAAGTAACAAAATCACATTTTTGATAAATTTCCATTAAACTAATTATAATTCAACGGATGCTGGTTGTGACGATGAGAGCAATGGAGCGAAGGATGTTTGGAGTATTTTTTCGTAATCGCATAAACAATCAGATAATCCGACAGATAAGCGGCTGCAGAGTACCAAATAGCAGAATAGAAGAACTGGACTTAAGTGTCTGTCCAGAAGGACATTTTACGATGCAATCTGCGTGTTTCATCCCTTAGCTGTAAACACAGACCAAGCTGTGCATCAAACCAAGCGAGAAAATGGAATTCTATGGGATTTTGCTGGCAGACAACGGATGTCGCCCATAAGTCTAAGTTACATTCATGAAAAGAAGCGGTTACCAGCAAGATCAACTAGAAGGTGAGCTTATTTGGAGGCACTGCTGTATGTGTTTGACAACACTGCATGCTGACTCGAGGCGATTTAAGATCAGTTCACATTTTACCCCTTTTTTGCAAAATTATAGACCGGAAGGAATCGAAATTCTCATCTTCATCGATACCCGAGCCTTAGAATCGTGACGTATTAACCATTACACTGCCGACTTCTATGCATTACACCAAGGGGTAGGATCTTTTAAACTTATAAGGCACACACACACACATGCACCTACCCATACACACAAACATACACATACATTACAGCGTTGAATACTACAGCCCCAAGCAATGTACACTCTCCAATTTTTGCTAGCTTTTAGCTGTAATCCGCCACAACAGTAGCTGAAAGAAATGTAATTACCTCATTTCATTGTTCCAAATTATTTCGGGATTGTCATATTCACCCAAAAATGTTTGAGCAAATTTTTCTGGACCATACTCGTTCAGATACAATATTGCTGCTTCTGGAAGTAATGGACTTAAAATACTACGCGAAGCAAATTCGGATTTTGCCTGAAATCAATACAAACTTGCTGTAGAGAAGTTAATTATAAGTAAAACGAAAAAAAATAAATGGCAACGCGCACCAGACTAGCCGGTGCGATCATGCGTTTTGTGCAATTCAG